GGCTAGTTGTACACTCTCTTCATTGTTACCTTCTATAGCTGTAAAGCAATTATTAGCCAAATATACTATTAATAAAATTCTGGGTTGCAAGTACTCACTTTAATATTTAAAAAAAAAAAAAAAACCAATTCAGCTTGCAGCATTTTTTAATCCACAGACTAAAAACATGCAAATATTTACAAAAGATATAAAACATAATACTATTTCAGAAGCATATATAAAGTATCTTAAATTAGCTACTAATTATTATGAATCAAATAATTTATTAAATAAAGTGCCTAGTGATATGAATAGTAAAGATATTTTTTCTAGTTTTGTGGCTCAAGAACATTTAAACCAAGATGACAATAATATTGCTAACTGTAAATTTAACTCATATTTATTATTAACAAGAGTTTCTGATAAAACAAACATACTTTAGTGATAGGCTTCAAGAAAAGCCAACTATTTTATATTTTCAAAACTTGTGTACAAGTATCTTTCTATTCTAGCTACATCAGTGCTATCTGAATGTTATTTTTATTAGCAGGTTTTATCATCACTGAAAAAAAAATACATCTTAATTCTCAATTTGTTGAATCAGTTTTGTTCTTAAAGCAGCTCTTAAGCTTTGGCCCACATCACATATTTTTGACTAGAGTAATAAAAATTTTATACTGTATCTAAATGATTAAAATAATAAATTTAGTAACTTAACAGATCTTTATTAAATTAGGCAGATAGTTATGGAGTTAAGCCAAATAGTAGACAAGTAGAGAGTAAATATAAAGCACTTGTAAGTTATAAATAATTAAATTGAACTATTAATATATTTAAAATTCAGAAAAAAATATATATAATAAAAAAAAAGCAATTAATGTATTTGAATTAAAAATTAAAAAAGAAACTTATTATATAGTGAGCAGATATAAAAAATTACCTAAAGATTTTAATAAGACATTAAAATCATATATGCAATTTTTTATAAATGTATATATTATTTTAAAGAATTAAATACTTATTATTAAATAAACAAAGAAATAATCATAACATTTCTAGGCTAATAAAGTACTAATATCTGAATAAATATGTGTTGTATTTGTTAAGATACTTAAATAAAAAAAATGCATTTTATTTGGTAAATTATAACACTTTTTCCATTAATTTTTTTTTTTTTGGGATTAAGGTGACCTCCTTGGTCTTTTGACTTTTATTAATCACTTATGAGTATTGTGGTTCAATGAACGACTACAGGA